AAAAACGGAAAATCTTTATACTTTATGCTCATTTGCTGTCCACCTAAAACTGCTCCAAAAAATAAAATCTACTGGAAAACAGATTAGAATGAAGAAGTGAAGTGAAGTGAAGTCACTCAGTTATGTCCGACTCTTTGTGACCCGTGGACTGTAGCCTACCAGGTTCCTCTGTCCATGGGATTCTCCAGGCAAGAAGACTGGAGTGGGCTGCCATTTCCTTCTCCAGGGGATCTTCCTGACCCAGGGATCAAACTCAGGTCTCCCACATTGCAGGCAGGTGCTTTAACCTCTGAGCCATCAGGTAAGCCCAAAAAATAAAATCTACTGAAAAAATAGATTAGAATAGTTGACATAAAAACATCTTTATTGCAGATACATAAGCTGTATACCAAATAAGCCTGAGTTCTATTACAGCCTTTTTTTTTTTTGCTTTTTGCTTTACTCATAACTCTGTTCTTTGCTTCCATGCAAGATCTGGCTGCTATGAGTGTGTGTGTGTGTGTGTGTGTGTGTGTGTGTGTGTGTGTGTTTTAAAATATTTCAATTTAAGAACTATGTGATTATGATTTTGTCATCAAATGATTAGTTAATTAGTTAATGATGCTTCTAATTGGAATTTGGGGACCTCCCCAGGGGCTGAGTGGTAAAGAATCTGCCTGCAATACAGGAGACACAGGTTTGATCCCTGGGTCAGGAAGATCCGTTGGAGAAGGAAATGGCAACCCATTCCAGTATTCCTGTCTGGAGAATTCCATGAACAGAACGGCCTGGCAGGCTACAGTCCATGGGGTCACAAAAGAGTCAGACACAACTTAGCAACTAAACAACAACGATGGGAATTTGATGCACAGTTTGCAATTCTTAGTTGAGATTATAAAGGTATGAGAAAGGGAAGTATTAAAAATTATTTCAAAAACTTCCCAAAATTTAAAAAATTCTATATCATCACTCCTTTGAATATAAACACATCAATTACAGGCAATTCATAGTCATTTTAAGAATCTCTTTATGAGGATCATTTGTTAGTTGCCACATTTAATTACTATATATTGTGTCAAACAATAAACTTGGCTGTTCTTATATAAATCACACGGTAGGGAATGACTTTCCCTCACATTCTTCTGAATTAGCAAAGTTTAACTACATATGATTTTTTCCTAGTAGCTTTGAAATTTTGATTCAGAAAGAATTTTTTTAAATTTTATTTTATTTTTATTTTTTATTTTTTATTAGTTGGAGGCTAATTACTTTACAATATTGTAGTGGTTTTTGTCATACATTGACATGAATCAGCCATGGATTTACATGTATTCCCCTTCCCGGTCCCCCCTCCCACCTCCCTCTCCACCCGATCCCTCTGGGTCTTCCCAGTGCACCAGGTCCGAGCACTTGTCTCACGCATCCAACCTGGGCTGGTGATCTGTTTCACCCTAGATAATATACATGTTTCGATGCTGTTCTCTTGAAACATCCCACCCTCGCCTTCTCCCACAGAGTCCAAAAGTCTGTTCTATACATCTGTGGCTCTTTTTCTGTTTTGCATATAGGGTTATTGTTACCATCTTTACGGTATAGATTTCTTCCTATTTTTCATGCATTTACAGTGGTGGTGTAGTTGCTAAATGATGTCTAACTCTTGTAATCCCATGGACTGTAGCCCACCAGGTTCCTCTGTCCATGGGATTTCCCAGGCAAGAATACTGGAGTAGATTGCTACTTCCTTCTCCAGGGGGTCTTCCCAACCCAGGGATCAAACCCATGTCTCTTTCATTGCAGGAGGATTATTTACCACTGAGCCACCAGAGAAGCCCTCGTGCATTTACACACCATCCAAAATTACATGCAACATAGATGCATAGTGCATATTTATAAACTGTTCGATAAATTCTATGTAACTTTTATCACCTCTTTTGGTATCTTATCTAACCCAGGTTTTCTCAGTCTTGGCACTGTTGACATTTGGGGCTGGATAATTCTCTGCTGTGGGAAGCTGATGTGTATTGTAGAATATTTAGCAGCATCCTGGATCCCTCCACACTGGAAGCCAGTGGTACATCCCACAATTGCAACAACCAAAAATGCCTCCAGACATTGCCAAATGTCTTCTGGGGGGAAATCTCTCCAGTCAAGAACCACTGGGCTCACCAGTAATTGGGATCACAAAGTTTTCCTTTAAGAAATGTATATATACATATGATTTTTAATTGTGCTTGGCCTAACAAGTTAGCTCAGCTCTTTAGAACATTGTACTGAGTTCAAGGTCAGAAGATTGGTCATGAGGTTTAATGCATTCATTCAGCAAGCATTTATTGACTGGCCTACAATTACATTGCACTGTGCAAGGTGCTGAGAGGAATGCCACAAACACATGGAAAACAACCAGTGCCCTGCAGTTTATGGTCCTGCACAGCGAGTGAGAAAAAGTCAAAATGAGTGCTGGATTCAGGGGACACCAGGGGTTGAGAAAAGCGATGCCTGAACCTAGTACTGAAGAATAGAAAAGAATGTGGTTACACAGCGAGGGGAAAGGGTTGATTCCTCCTCTAAAGGAGAAATAACAAGGAAAGTTATTTAGCATAAAAGGTTAGCATGTGCTAGGCACTGTGCTAAGTACTGATTATATCATATTTTTTGTATATGATATATATGACAGAAGCTAAGTTCTGGCTCTAAAGTCACCAGCCTTTGCTTTAAATCCCCACTTAAGATGAGAAAACACTATTTAAAAATTAACTTTTTTATGCATAAATTGGGAATAATGATATAGTATGGTTTTTTGAAGCCTAACAGAGGTGAAAACCGACTTAATATAGTATCTACACTAATAATAAGTGAATATTTTTATTCTTCTTATTATTATTAAATAGTGATTTACTTAGCTATTTAAACCCACGCTTGTCTGTGTTCAGAACTGTGCATTCTACCATTCACCATGTGGGGAATATAGGCCTTGTTCTGAGAGCAACAGCAGCTCCAAGTTCTGCCTGGAGAAGACAGTGGACTATATGACAAAAGGTTTGACCTATTCTCAAACAACAGGGAATATTAATGACTCTGAGCATTGCTCAAATGACTTCCCAAGAAAACCCACTGTAGTGGGGGTAATTAAGAAAAAAAAAGAGCTGGAGGAAATGTGGTATCACATGGAAGAAAAATGGTGGGAAAAGTGTAAGCAGAGGCCAAACCATGCAAACCCTTCTAGATGATGCTGAGGAGTTTGAATTCATCCTGAACCAACGGGAAGTCACTGAAGGGTTTCAAGCAGAGAGATATCGGAACCAAGCGTGTCCTCTGAAAAGAGTCCTGGCCATTTGAAGAATGGAGAACGGACTGACGTATGACAAACAAACAAACAAAAAAACAAAGCAAAAACCTGGGAACTGAGGCTACTGAGGAGACTAAATCTGGACTTAGTAACAGAAAGATAAGAGAAGAAAAGGAGTTAAAGATGTCTTTGGTGATGGAATTGATAGAATATCCTTTAGCGAGCAAGTGGCAAAGCCCAGTCATTCATTCCAAATCTGATACATTTTAACATACATTATAGGTACATTCTTATTTAACCTAGCTACCTATAAGCCACTAGATACTGAGATAGCAAAAATAACTATGTATAAGTCAACACTGCCTCCAAGAAATGGGAAAAAGCTGAATTTTATAATCTTTGGATTTTGTTGTTGTTGCTGTTGAAAACAGTAAACATCTGTGGAAAGAATCAAATGAATGATATTGGGTCAGCGATGGCATCTCTACACGACACAGAAAACATGACTTGCCTGGACTGTGGTATTTACTTCAACGCAGCCCATTAGCATCTAGCATTTGCCAGATTATCTGTCTCTTCTGGGACGAATTCTAATTAAGCATGTAGTTTTTAAATCCAGAGATGCTTTTGGTTTGATATCTAGTATACAATCATCTTAGAATAAAATGGCATTTATGGATGTCTTTTTTTTTTTTTTAAAGCACAAGTTTTTATTTGCTAAGCTAACATCTAAAGGAAAAAAATATTACAATGATACTGAAAGATATTTTTATTGGTATTTTAAAAGGCAAAATGCAAACGAGAATATCTTACTCAGAAAAGTAATTTTCAAAATGTCTTAAATGGAATAAATATAATATCTAATACAATCTCTTCCTCTAAGAATCTATAAGATGGACAATGCTAAAAACCAAGCTTCTCATTTGAGAATCCCCAAAGTTAGCACGTCCCTTTAAAAAAAAAGAAAAGATTTTCTTATAAAGGAAATGTGGCATACCACATTTTCTAACATTTGTCCTAAAACTATCTTTAACATCGAAATTTTCTAAATATATTAAGTCCACTTAAATTAAAATTAAGGAAAAGATACCTAGATATAATTTCTAAGAAAACAATGCAGAAAGTAATTTATGCATGGTTTGCATGGTTATTTACAGAAAGTTTCGCTAAATAATGATATAACTATCATGTTCAAAAGTCTGACAAATCCCTTCTAATAATCAGCACTGCAGGTTTCAAAAAAACTTTATATATAACAAAGAATGTTTCCTGTGAAGAGTTATTAGATAAATCTGAGAGCCAGAAACTAAAGCATCTGACATGGTTAATAACTTCATGTTTATTATACTAAATGTCAGGTCAGAAGTCAATGGCATTTACATGCTGGAAGACTGTTTATCACTCAACTCTTTCAATTATACCAAACACTGATTAATCAAATGTGACTGGACTTGACTGCTACAACTGTATGGTTTCTTTCAGGTATATGCAAATCTTTTGAATGGGCACATATGCAACTGTGCAAAACCAATGAAACATAAATATTTAAAAGAATGAACAGAAATGGCTTTTAAGCATAAACCACTCTGCCATTCAATTTTGAAGCTCTATTTTTTTTCTTCACTAATTTGTCTTCTGTGTTTAGTAGTCTTCTATCCTATTAAAGTTGCAGGTTTACAGATGATCTGGAAATTTCACATGGATGTAAGAAAGGAACGTCTGGTCGATGCAGTCTCTATAATAAGAAGAAATACCTTGTTCTATGAGCAGCTGCCATACTTTCAGACATGTTTCTGACTTTCAGATAATTAACAAATCCTCTGAAGAAAAGAAGCAGGCCAAGTACAAGAAATATCCACCAAAGCCAGTATTGTCCATTGAAATATCCAGTAAAATAATCAGAAAACCTGACAATGAGGATCCATTTGATCAACGACAGGCCGAAGCCACAGATGGCACCGTACCTCCCAGCGATGGTGTTGGTGATGCAGAAGGATAAGCGAAATCCAAGCCAGTTGAAGATAAATGCCATGAAAAATGCCAGCATGAAAATCCCATCATTACCCACTCTGAGCTGGTCTGCATCATTGAAGTCATCTCTTGGTGGACACTCTTCCTCTTGAATTCTTTGAGATGTTTCTGCTGCTGCAGCTGCCATCGCAGCAGCTTTGGCCTTCTCAGCTTCATCGCACGTGGGAAGAGAGGCAGCAACACTGTAAGGAGGCGGCACAGGATAAAACTCACTGTAAACTTCTCTATCTGAAGTTGTAGGTACTTCCACGGTAATACTACTGCAAGGGGGAGGAGACGAGTCAGTCTCATGTCCAGATGCTGAAGGAGCGGCCTGCACGCTGTGTGGTGCTGGGTTTGAAGCAGATGGCTGCTCTACACCAGATGATTCTGAATTATCCTCTTCATTGGGAAGCTCTTTCATTCTCAAAAAAATAGCACCGTCAGTCAACCAACATCTAATGGGATTCTTGTCCTTCATGCAAAAGTAGGAGATGACGAGGGTTTCTTCTAACCCTAAGGTAACAGGACTCCGGGAAAAAAACTCCAGTAATCTCCGTCAGTCAGTGCTGCCTTATCCAACACCTGCCACCTGGTAGCGGCCCGTCCCCGCCTGGTGGTGATCCATGCTCCCGGCTCGGGGTCCGGCTTCCGAGCGGGTGAGTCCCCTCGGCGCTCAGCCCCCTCGGCCGCCCCCTTCAACGACGTCGCCGCCTCAGCGACTCTTCCGCCTCTGTTTCTGCGGCCGCCTCACTTCCCGTCTCCGGGATGTCTTTCCATAAGCACACCTTTGAGTAACTTTTCACACACTTACTGATTTATTCAACAAATGTGTTTTAAGCTAGTACTTGGCCATGCGTTGTATTTGATGCTGGTAATAAAATGAAAATAAGATAGATTATCTCCACTCTTAACCAGTCTGTATTTGAGAGAGAGAGATAAGACAAGTAAACAAATGTCAACAAAGTCAACTGGTTGGATGGAGTACGTACAGGAGACTAGCGGGAGGGGAGGATGACTAGCCCTCTCCTGGAGGAGCTGACGTCGACATGGAGACCTGAGGATAACTGGGGCCAGCCTGCTGCTGCTGCCGCTAAGTCACTTCAGTCGTGTCCGACTCTGTGTGACCCCATGGACGGCAGCCCACCAGGCTCCCCCGTCCCAGGGATTCTCCAGGCAAGAACACGGGAGTGGGTTGCCATTTCCGTCTCTAGGGGCCAGCCTAGAAAAGGTTTAATGGGAGGGAGACTGCTTTGGGGGAGGTCAGAGTATAAGCAAAGGTCCAGAAATAAAAGAGAAAATGACATGTTCATGGAAAAGCAAATATTTCAGAAAGGTTGGCAAGGAAAAGTTTAGGAGTGATGAACCCCCTGAGGAAAAGTCATGAAAGAATTTATATTCCATGTTAAATAGCCTGAATTCATTCGAATAGCAAGAAGGAACTATGTCAAGATTTTTCAGCAGGAAAGTGACATGATCAAGTATAAAACTCAGAAAGACCTCCTTGAATACATATAGGATGGAGAATGCATGGGTGGTGATGAAGCGATCAAGTTAAAAAACAAGCAGTTGGAAGTCTTGTGTGTTAATTATAGACTAGAAATTATGCATTCAAAGAAAACTAAGTGGATAGGGAGAGAAGTAGGCAAATTTTAAAGAGACTAGTTGATAAGACAGGCAGGTCTTGGAGATTGATTGAATGCGGTAGATGAGTGTTGGGAAGTATCAAAGATGATACCCAGGTTTCTGACAGGAGTTAGGAAGTACAGGAGAAATGGTTAGGATATGGTAATAAATTGTACCCTGGACATGTTAAGTTCCATCTGGCTGTAGGTCACTTAAGTAGTGATGGGCACCAGGTAACCGAATTCACTGTATTCACGGGAGAGCTCTGTGACAACTCAGAGGTCTTGTTGGCATCAGCATGTAGTGCAGCAAGAATTTTGATTGAATCTTGTCCATGAACAGGAGGGTCAGAGAACTGTGACAGTATTGTGTGAATTAGCCCTTCACAGCTACCCTGGGGCGGTTATAATTCCCCTCTGTAATCAGTGATACAGCAAGCAAATGGTTTTCTGAGGGTCACTCCAATGACCTTGTTGCATTAATTTATTATTAGGCTTCCACTGATTACCATGATTCCAATCTGCAGCCAATATGCCAATCTATATCTACATATTGAATGCCCCATATATGCTCAGCACAATGAATCTCTCTAGAGTTTTAGATGTGGTAGGCTAAAAATAAAGGACAGGACCTTAGACAAGGTGACTGGGCAATGAAGAGACTTGCAGAGAAAATTGCAGTTTTAGGCGCAGAAAGCAGCAAGGGTCAATTTGTAAAAATCAAAATCAATGTGCAAACCCAAAAAACAAAAGAGTTTCAGAAATCGAGAGACAATGCCAAGGGTGAACAGATAAGTAGGACAGGACAGTACCGGTGCAAAGCCAGGCGGAGAGCACGGGGGTAGTTACGATGCTCAAGCGTACACACATTGACCTCATTATTTATCAAGGACGTGACCCTTGGATGGGCCAAACCTGCTTACAAGTATCGGGTTGTGATAGATAGTAAATACCTACATTGGCTTGATTTGTTCATATTTTAGACCTATTGTGGACATTTTTTATTTAGGCAGTATTTCCACTTACAATAGTTCCCCCATTGTCTAAATCCTTTAGATAGGGACTCTCCTGAAATGATTACAATTAGGTCTCATTTAATGAACATTTATTCTGTGTCCATAAATGTGCATTTTGCATACAGTGTCCCATTTAATCTTCACAACATCTAACTGAAAAAACAGTTCCTCTTGTCACTGGGAAGAAAACAAGAACTCTGAAGATATGCTGTGAAACTGTTTATCCTGGCTTTACTTTCCTCTCTTTTTTCCTCCAGAAACTTGCTCCAATTCATATGCCTGTTCCAGTCACCCTGGCCTTCTTCCAGTTTACCAAAGTCACCATTCTTCAGACCCCAGGATATTTGCACATACTGTTTCCTCAGTTGGACATTGATTCTCTTTCACTTTGCTATCTCTTTTAGATCTCAACTAAAGGATAGCTTTTTAGACAAGCTTTCCCTGCCTTCCCTGTAACAGTCAGTACCCTTAGTTATGCTTCATAGAACCACACTCCTTTATTGTCGAGCCCTGAGCTCAGAATATAGTTACACCTTTATTAGAAGGATGAGGGCTTCCTAGGTGGCTCAGTGGGTAAAGAATATGCCTGCAATGCAAGAGAGGCAGGCAGACGGAGGTTCAATCTCTAGGTCAGAAAGATTCCCTGGAGGAGGGTGTGGCAGCCCACTCTAGTATTCTTGCCTGGAGACTCCCCATGGACAGAAGAGCCTGGGGGCTACAGTTCATAGGGTCACAAAGAGTTGGACATGACTAAAGCAACTGAAAATAGATGGGGAGACAGGGGAAACAGTGTCAGGCTTTATTTTGGGGGGCTCCAAAATCATTGCAGATGGTGATTGCAGCCATGAAATTAAAAGACGCTTACTCCTTGGAAGGAAAGTTATGACCAACTTAGATAGCATATTAAAAAGCAGAGACATTACTTTGCCAACAAAGGTCCATCTAGTCAAGGTTATGGTTTCTCCAGTGGTCATGTATGGATGTGAGAGTTGGACTATAAAGAAAGCTGAGTGCCAAAAAATTGATGCTTTTGAACTATGGTGTTGGAGAAAACTCCTGAGAGTCCCTTGGACTGCAAGGAGATCCAACCAGTCCATTGTAAAGGAGATCAGTCCTGGGTGTTCATTGGAAGGACTGATGCTGAAGCTGAAACTCCAGTACTTTGGCCACCTCATGTGAAGAGTTGACTCATTGGAAAAGACCCTGATGCTGGGAGGGATTGGGGGCAGGAGGAGAAGGGACTGACAGAGGATGAGATGGCTAGATGGCATCACCAACTCGATGGGCATGGGTTTGAGTAAACTCCGGGAGTTGGTGATGGACAGGAAGGCCTGGCATGCTGCAATTCATGGGGTCGCAAAGAGTTGGACACGACTGAGCAACTGAACTGAACTGAACTTTATTAAATCCAATCAACAATAAAGGTCATTTTTCATTATTTATAAATTATGAAAATGAGGGCTAGAAAAGTTGTCACTTATCTAAGATCAAACAGCTTACTGATTAGTACCAAAATTACAGCTCAGAGCTCCTACCTCCCAGTCCATTTTCTTTTAAAAAATATTAACCCCAATGTGCTTGTGTTTGACCTTCCCTTTGTCATCTCCATTGCACAGATGCCCAAAGGGAAATACAGACAATAAGTCTACATCCTAACAATACAACCTTAAGAACTAACCAGAAAAGTAATGCCACCACTGAAAAGCTAAATTAACATACTAAAACCATACCTAAAACATTGCTTCGATCTGAGAACTACCCTTGTCATTTCTGTAGTGTGGGCTTTTTGCATGTGGAATATTTCCCTTCAAAGAAAATCGAGAACTTCTACTGAATTGTGCCAGACAGAGCCGAGGCTGTGTTGAACATTCTACCAACATTCCTTGAAAAGCATGTGTCATCTTGGCATCTTATTTAGATATATCTTTTAAAGAAGCAGTTGCCGCTATGCTGTAAGCTAATGGAAAGGAACTGCAGTTTATTTTTAAAGTCGTCCGGGCCCCCAGAGCAGAACAACGACTCAAATCATGACTGTTCAGCAGCCCCTTAAGTGTACGACTTCCCTCTGGCAAAGTTCTGAGCTAAGCCCATGGACCATATCATTCTGAATCAGTTGATGCCTCTCTGAATGCTGCTGTCTGTGTTTCTACAACTAAATTTATAGAGATGTTTTTACAATAGTACTATACCAACTCTTTTTTTTTTTTTTTTAATTTTTTTTTTCATTTATTTTTATTAGTTGGAGGCTAATTACTTTACATCATTGCAGTGGTTTTTGTCATACATTGAAATGAATTAGCCATGGATTTACATGTATTCCCCATCCCGGTCCCCCCTCCCCCCTCCCTCTCCACCCAATCCCTCTGGGTCTTCCCAGTGCACCAGGCCTGAGCACTTGTCTCATGCACCCAACCTGGGCTGGTGATCTGTTTCACCCTAGATAATATACGTGTTTCGATGCTGTTCTCTTGAAACATCCCACCCTCGCCTTCTCCCAGAGTCCACAAGTCTGTTCTATACATCGGAGTCTCTTTTTCTGTTTTGCATATAGGGTTATCGTTACCATCTTTCTAAATTCCATATATATGTGTTAGTATACTGTAATGGTCTTTATCTTTCTGGCTTACTTCGCTCTGTATAATGGGCTCCAGTTTCATCCATCTCATTAGAACTGATTCAAATGAATTCTTTTTAATGGCTGAGTAATATTCCATGGTGTATATGTACCACAGCTTCCTCATCCATTCGTCTGCTGATGGGCATCTAGGTTGCTTCCATGTCCTGGCTATTATAAACAGTGCTGCGATGAACATTGGGGTACACGTGTCTCTTTCAGATCTGGTTTCCTCGTACCAACTCTTTTATATCTTCTTGATTATTTCTGCTCTCTCTTTTTGCCAACATTGTCAGGTACGGACTCTGAGCAGAAAGCCCCAAAGCTAACAAATGCCGAATGCATTCCATTGACTCAAAATGTGATAACACAG